TGCCCTGCACTGGGTGGTGTCCTGCACTGGAGCCCCAGGGCCATGCCCTGCACTGGGTGGTGTCCTGCACTGGAGCCCCAGGGCCATGCCCTGCACCGGGTGGTGTCCCGCACTGGAGCCCAGGGCCAGTATCTAATAAGCCTGCACCTGGGGAGAGAGCAGCAGTTGACAGCCGCTGTTGACGTGGGTGAGCACCTTCTGCTTGAGCTGAGCGACCTGTTCCCTCAGGAGGCTGGCGGTAGATGCTAGCTCCGAGTTCTGACACTTGAGGCTCTTGACCTTGTCCTCCAGCCGGGAGATCCGCTCCAGCTTCCTCTTGCGGCACTTGGAGGCGGCGATGCGGTTCCGTAGCCGCTTCCTCTCGGCCTTGATGCGCTCCTGGGTGTCCATGTCGATGGGAGAGAGCGGCGGGCTGTCCCCCAGGCCCGACACATCGGGTACCGTCTGCGGCTCGTCCTTGGGAGCCTGAAGCCGGGCCTGCGGGCACAGCTGCTGCCCGAGGGCCGAGTACGAGGCGGTGCCTGCGGCCTCAGTGCTGTGTCCGAGAGCCGGGGCCTCAGGTCCCGGGCCACTGTAGGTGCTCAGGTTGGTGTAGACAGGAGGCTCCGAGTGCTGTAAGCCGGGGCCGGCCGGACCAGGAGGCTGCGAAGCCGGGCCGGGACCATCAGCTGAGCCCGGGGCTTGAGGCCCGCTCAGCTGGTTCTGTTTATGGAGATCCTCCAGCGCTTTAACAAAACCTTCGGCGAACGAGTTCTGTTCGTCCGTCACAGGCCGCGAGTAAAGACCGGGTGCTGGGCCGGGGCTGGTGGTCACTAGGCCGCTCGATTGGATGATGAGGCGCTCCAGGTCGGGAGAGGCGAGCTTGAGGAAGCTGAGGTCCGGGGAGTGCAGTGAGGCCTCGGCCTCTCGCTGGCTCTTCAGGCCGCTACCGGCGATGGGCAGGCTCAGGGTCTTTTTCATGGCGCGGGCTGAGCTCAGGTTGTCCTCATGGTAGAAAGGCGTTTCCATTCCCGGGGCCAGGGCTCGGAGGTAAGTGCTGGCCAGGCCCCGGCGGCGGACACAGCTACACAATCCGACAGCTCGGGCTTCACCGCGTTCTGTGCCGCTCGCCCCCCAACCTGCTTCCTCTTAAATAGACTCGGGCACGTGACCGCCCGCCCCATGAGCTCACCGCCACGCCCTCCCATTGGCTGTTGGTGACGTCTTCCAGGGAGATCCTCTTTGCATATCGCGCTCCGATTGGCCACCTGTTGCCAAGGAGACGATTGTTTGGACCAAACAGCGCGGGGTCAGGGTGACGTAACGGTTTGGGGCGTTGCGGAGGTGCACACGTGATTCCCAAACCTTTAAGGTGGATCCGGAGCCGCGATTCGGCCCATCACGAGTTACGTACTGGAGTCGGAGTACTATGTCCCACGGGTGGTAACAACTGCAGATGCATTTCTGAAGAAGGGTCTGGACCGGAAACGTCAACTTTCCTGATCCTCTGTTGTTGCCTGGCCTGTTCATCCAACTCTACACTGTGTTAACTCTGTTTCCACAGATGCTGCCAGATCTGCTGAGTTTCTCCAACAACTTCTGCTTTTGTTTCAGATTTCCAGCATCTGCAGTTCTCTGTTTTACTGTAACAGATTCCCTGGTCCTTATCATATTGTTGCTAGTGGGATCCAGCCTTTAGAATAGAATCGAAATTTACTGTCACGTGTACTTTTACATGAAATATAGTGAAAAGTTTTAGAAGCTGTCCCAGCATGGTGCCTACATCAATGATAGAAGTCATACATAATAAAACAAAATGTTTCCAGCATTACAATTTCAAAAATACTTCATTGACTCTAAAGCATGTAGGAGTGTCATGGGGGATGTGAAAGGCACTACATAAATGCAAAAAGAAATTACTAGAAAGGGTCACTGGACTTAAAATGTCAAAGAACAAAGAAAATTACAGTACAGGAACAGGGCCTTTGGCCCTCCAAGCCTACACCGACATGCTGCCCGTCACAACTAAAACCTCCTACCCTTCTGGGGAACTGTACCCCTCTATTCCCAGCCTATTTTTGTATTTGCCAAGATGCCCTTTAAAAGTCACTAATGTATCTGCTTCCACAACCTCCCCTGGCAGCAAGTTTCAGTCACCCAGCACACACTGTGTAAAAAACTTGCCTTGTACATCGCCTTTAAACTTTGTCCCTCTCACCTTAAACCTACGTAACTGACTCTTCCACCCTGGGAAAAAGCTTCTGACTGTCCACTCTGTCCATGCCCTTCATAATCTTATGGATCTCTATCAGGTCATTCCTCAACCTCCGTCATTCCAGTGAGAGTGAGAGTTTTTCCAACCTCTCCTCATAGCTAATGCCCTCCATACCAGGCAACATCCTGGTAAATCTTTTCTGTACCCTCTCCAAAGCCACCACATCCTTCTGGTAGTGTAGCGACCAGAATTAAACACAATATTCTAAATGCAGTCTATCTAAGGTTCTATAAAGCTGTAACATTATCTGCCAATTTTTAAACTCAATGCCCCGGCCGATGAAGGCCATATGCCTTGTTGACTACCTTCTCCACCTGCGTTGCCACTTTCAGTGACCTGTGTACCTGTACACCCAGATCCTTCTGCCTATCAATACTCTTAAGGGTTCTGCCATTTACTGTATATTTTCCATCTGGATTAGATCTTCAGAAATGCATTACCTCACATTTTTCCGGATTAAACTCCATCTGCCATCTCTCTGCCCAAGTCACCAACCAATCTGTATCTTGCTGTATCCTCTGATGGTCCTCATTGCTTTTCGCAATTCTACCATCCTTTGTGTCATCCACAAACTTACTAATCAAACCAGTTACATTTTCTTCCAAATAATTTATATATATTACAAATAGCAAAGGTCCCAACACTGATCCCTGAGGAACACCACTAGTCACAGCCCTCCATTCAGAAACGCATCCTTCCACCGCTACCCTCTGTCTTCTATGACCGAGCCAATTTTTTTTCCACTTTGCAAGCTCACCTCTGACCCTGTGCGACTTTACCTTCTGTATCAGCCTTTCATGAGGGACCTTGTCAAAGGCCTTACTGAAGTTCCATGTGGACAACATCCACTCCCCTACCCTCATCAATCATCTTCGTCACTTCCTCAAAAAACTCAATCAAGTTAGTGAGACACCACCTCCCCTTCACAAAACCATATTGCCTCTCACTAATACCTCCATTTATTTCCAAGTGGGAGTAAATCCTGTCTCGAAGAATCCTTTCCAGTAATTTCCCTACCACTGATGTAAGGCTCACCGGCCTGTAATTAGCTGGATTATTCCTGTCACCCTTCTTAAATAAAGGAACAGCATTGGCTATTCTCCAATCCTCTGGGACCTCCACTGTAGCCAGTGAGGATACAAAGATTTCCCTCAAGGCCCCAGCAATTTCCTCCATTGCCTCTCTCAGTATTCTGGGGTATATCCCATCAGGCCCTGGGGACTTGTCTACCTCTGTTTCTCTTCCAACCGAAGCTGCCAACCAGCTGAGTTTCTCCAGAACTTTCTGTGTTTGTCTCAGATTTCCAGTGTCTGCAGTTTTTTGTTTTTATATTAGCTCATCATGTAGGTTTGATTTGGTTTATTGTTGTCACATACTGAGATAGAGTGAAAAGTGTTGTTTCGTGTGCTCTATAGGCAGATTGCACCATACAAAGTGCAACAGGGTAGCAGAACAGAGCGCAGAATACAGTGCTAGAGCTGCAGAGAAGGTGCAAAGAGAGAGATCAACATTAACATTTGAGAGGTCCAGTGCTGGCTCTCTTTGCAAAAGCAACTCAATTTATCCCATTCCCTTTGCTTTTCCCCCTAGCCCCATTTAGTCTTTTCTTTCTGATGATTATCCAGTTCTGTTTTGAATCTAATGATTGAATCTGTCTCCACCAGCTCTGAGGGAGTGCATTCCAGACCTTAAACCCTTGCTGCATGAAAACACTTTCCCTCAAGTCATGTCTTATTTCTTTTGCTAATTACCTTAAACATTGCCTTCTCATTCTCACCCAATGGAAAAGGTTTCTCTCTGTCTTTCTATCCAGAACCTACCACACCATTATTTTGAACACCTTCATCAAATTGCCTCAACTTTCCTTTTTATAAGAAGATGCTTCTTCAATCCATTGTCTTTACTGAAGTTCCTCATCCCCGCAATCATTCCCATAAATATTATCCACTGTCTTGACATATTTAAAGTTATAGAGTCATAGAGATGTACAGCACAGAAACAGACCCTTTAGTCCAACTTATCCATACTGACCAGATATCCTAAATTAATCTTGTCCCATTTGTCAGCATTTGGCTCATATCCCTCAAATTCCTATTCATACCCATCCAAATGCCTTTTAAATTGTACCAGCTTCCATCACTTCCTCTGGCAGATCATTCCTTACACACACCCCCTCTGTGTGAAAAAGTTGCCCTTTAGGTCCCTTTTAAATCTTTCCCCTCTCACACCTTAAACTATGCCCTCTAGTTTTGGACTCCCCCCACCCTGAGGAAAAGACCCTGACCATTCACCCAATCCATGCCCCTCATGATTTTATAAACCTCTATAAGGTCACCCCTCAGCCTCCGATTCTCCAGAGAAAATAGCCCCAGCTTATTCAGCTTCTCCCTGTAGCTCAAACCCTCCAACCCTGGCAACATCCTTGTAAATCTTTTCTAAAGCTCAGCAGGTCTGGCAGCATCTGTGAAGAAAAAATCAGAGTTAACGTTTCTGAGGAACCGTCACCAGACCTGAAATGTTAACTCTGATTTTTTTCTTCACAGATGCTGCCAGACCTGCTGTGCTTTTCCAGCAACTTCTGTTTTTGTTCCTGATTTACAGCATCCGCAGTTCTTTCGGTTTTTAAATCTTTTCTAAATCCTTTCAAGTTTAACACATCTTTCCAATAGCAGGGAGACCAGAATTGAGCACAGTACTCCAGAAGTGGCCTAACCAATGTAACTTCCTGAAGCATGGTGCCTTGATCTGGACATCATGCTGCCACTGCGACCGAACCAGTGCTTTATACTGGCTCATTAAAACTTCTTAGCAACGTGGGGAAAATGACCAGATCAGAGACATTCCCATGGTGAGGAATGGAGGGAACAATGTAGGAAAAGAGTTGTACTCAGGCTTGTATTTACAAGGAAAGTGCATTTCATTGGGCCATTTCACATCCTTAGGAATCCCTAAAGCTCTGTACCGCCAATGAAAGGCAGTCAGTGGTTTAACGCAGCAGCTGCTGAGCACACAGCAAGATCAGGGAAACAATAAGAGCAACAAATGTCTTCCTTGATCATATGAACAGAGGGAGCAATGTTAGCCCAGGCCACAAGGGATATTCCCCTGAACTCTGCTTCAATAGTGCCATAATACTATTAGCAACAGCTGAGCAGGCAAAATCTCCTTGATTTAACAACACTGAGAACTGCACAGGGAGATTCAATACAATGTGTAGGTTAAACAGTAAATTTTCTGACTCAGATGAGTATAAATATCAAACATGTACATATTTCCATTTTACTAAATTACTTGGGGGAGTTAACATGAGTCAATGTTTGTGACTGAGAGTTACACCAAGCACACTCACTAAGATCAGTCTGCCTGAGTTTATTTTGCAGTGTGACACAGGATACAATTTGCAAACCGCAAGGAGTTGACACTCATCCGGAATTGGTGACCCTTGATCAGTCTGGAACTGTGTGTTGCCATGACTTCTCTTCCTTCACAACAAGAGAAAAATGAAGTAAAGTACAGCTGGAAACACACAGCTGTCGGCTCATGGTCAATAGCTTATTATGTTGGGTGGAGGCTTTTGTTACAACAACAGGGGACAAGACTTTCCAACAGAACTCTAAGCATTTCCTGTCATGGCCAATAGATCTATGAAAAGCTATTAAGAAAACTTCTTTCAACATTCCTCAAGGGGCTGACTCTCACTGGGGTACAGGGTCCCCCTCCCTCTCCTGAAGGGGCTGACTATCACTGGGGTACGGGGTCCCCCTCCCTCTCCTGAAGGGGCTGACTCTCACTGGGGTACAGGGTCCCCATCCCTCTCCTGAAGGGGCTGACTCTCACTGGGGTACAGGGTCCCCCTCCCTCT